TATTGCTTTAATGAGGTCTCTCCTCTTGTATATGTTCAAACTTATCATAGTAGTCTATCTGATCCTTCAAAATTGGGTTTTTTTTGGCAGATGGTTATTTATTGGACCTTTGCAACTTGTATTTATCTGTAATTGAATCCAGTTGAGTGGAGTTTCAGAGGAGAATCGGGTTTTATTGTGAAGTTTTCATGCATGGAAACTCGAAGTAGAAGCAGGAAGAGAGCTGAGGCCTTGGAGTTGATGCCTGCTGATAAGAGAGCCTGCAATGGTGCTTCGACCTCTGCTTCGTGCTCGAGGGCTAATGAAGCCCCACCTAAAACCCTGGATCACAAGATGGAGTCGTCGGGTTCAGTCTCTGGTGAACATGTAGAAGGAGTCAATGGGGACCGAAAAGATGGAGGAAATCCACAGCAAGTCTCTGGTGGACCAGTAGAAGGAGACAATGGGAACCCAAACGATGGAGGAAATCCACAAGAAGACTCTGATTATGCGAGTTCAAGTGATTCAGAAGAGGATCAAATCCCCAAATTTGAATATGGCAACGCAGGTGTTTGGGAGTGCCCTTATGGGAATAGAAAAACCCTCAGCGATAAGATAAAGAGGGTGGTTTCGAGCATTGTTGCAGGACCAAAAGAACATGGGTCTTTTAGTATGTTGGCTTTGCTAACTGAGCTCTGTGACTATTTGCCTTTTTGTATGGAGGACTGCTTTGGGAGTGTTTCTTTGGATTCGTTTGTTCCAGTGCTGGTTGGGGTGGTGAAGGAGGAGGGGGAGCCTGATACCATGCTTTTAGCGGTGAGGGCCCTCACCCACCTTTGCGATGTGATGCCGAAGTCATGTGCGATAGTTGTGCGCCATAATGCTGTTCATGCTTTCTGCGCTCGGTTGATGGCAGTGCAGTACGTAGATGTTGCGGAGCAGGTCTCTCTCTCCCATCGCCACTCTCTCTCTCTCTCTCAAAACAATTAGTGAGAAAAATAAAAAAAGGCTTGTGGCTGAAAAAAACAAGTGTCCATTCAGTGGAATGGGATGCGAGTCAGAGGAATTTGTTCGAACAGTTTTCTATTTATCCTTTATTGCCTGAAAGACCCACGTGTTTGTTATCGGCTTTTGCTTATTAGTCAATATCAAGAGAATTTAAGCTAGCTGTTTAAGAAGGTTTCCGCCCCCCTCTCCCCCCACCAAAATAGTTTAGCTTGTTTAAGATAGAGTCTTTGTCTTTTCGATTTATGTTTGTCTTGTTTTGTGCAGTGCCTAAGGGCTCTTGAAAAGATTTCTCGGGATCATGCAGCTGCCTGCCTACATTCTGGGGCGATCATGGCTGTGTTGCCTATTGTGGACTTCTTCTCAACAGGCATTCAGGTAAGCTCTGCAGCACCAAAGGCCATGGACTTCCTTCATCTTGAAAACCCATTGGTTTTGCTTGTGGATTTGACCACTCTTGTAATTTATCATATATTGTATGGATTTAAATTGATTTGAACATGATTTTGATTAATCGTAAAGTGTTTGGGAACTTCGCTACGTCTATCCTCCCATCCATTCAGGATGCCTTTTGCATGATGATATGGTAGTATAACTGCAAATTTGGCTGCTTGATGGAAATTTGTGTAGTTAGTTCAGTTTGGGCCACCACATGGTTCCCCATGAACATGAGGATTACTTTTTTTTATTTTTCTGAATTACTAATAGCATCAGCAAAAATAAATACAATGGCTATCATAGGTTTGGCTGATTCCTATTTTAGAATTTATTTATTTTTGACTGGGATGATGAGTTGGGTGGTGTGGGGCAGAAAAGAAAAGAGAGCTGGAATATAGTATTCTCCTGTTAAACTCATGAACATGGACTGACATTTTTTTTTTAATCAGAGAGTAGCTCTATCTACTGCTGCAAACATATGCAAGAAACTCGATCATCAGTCATATCCACTTGTCATTGATGCTATTCCAATATTGTGCAATCTCCTTCAGTATGAGGATCAGAAGGTAGCTTTTTTTTTTTTTTTTTACCTTTTTTGATTGCTAGAATCTGGAAGTAGCTGCTCAATATTCTTTTCCTTTATGAGTTCTTGAATTCCATAGTTGCCTTATCCAGTTTTTATTTGTCTTTTTATGAACGTTTTGAAAAACTAGCTTTCCTACTCTAAACAAATTATGGAAATTGTACTTGACAGCTTGTTGAAAATGTGGCTATTTGCCTCATAAGAATAGGAGAGGCTTTGAAAGGTTCATCAGATAAATTGGATGAGCTGTGCAAGCTTGGGGTAATTGCCCAAGCACTTCATCTGATTTCCTCAAACAGCCGGATCATAGTCAGTAAAACGACATACTCTGTAAGATGAAGCTTCTCAATTCCTTTTGCTTTTATTCTTTAAACTTTTTTACTTCTGGATTATGATAGTTCTGCTATCTTTGCTTCCAATTGTGTAGGGTTTGATTGGGCTGCTTTCCATTCTTGCTTCTGGTTCTTCCCTTGCAGTCAAGGTTCTCTTTGACCTGAATATCAGCCACACATTGAGAGATATTCTGGCCTGTTCTGACCTTGCACCTAGCACAGTCTATTCTTCTTCTGAGGATCTTTCTTCAAAGAAGGTACGTGGTTACGTGCTTTGCCAAATTATGGTCAGACTGGTCCCATAAACTACTTGAAACTTCCAAAACGTTCGCCTATGAATCTGTTTTGAGTTTAAAATAGGATCTTTGAGGCCCTATGAGAATTGTATTGAAATGACTACAAGAAGATGGAATCATTTGACTAACTTAGATATTTTGTGGTTAGTGAACTTGCATGTAGATGCATTACCTCTCTAATAAAGATGTTAGGTATAGTAATGAAAAAATAAGTAGAAAAATAATAAAATTAAAAATTTGAATTTAGGATTGCATCATTTTCCCAGGTATTGGAGAAGTTCGACCTCGAGCTTGAAAAGTCTAACTTGATTCAAACCAGTGTTTTAAAATGCGGCCGCATCATGCGGTATGCGGTGGGCTCCGCATTAGAACTCACCGCATATGCGCTTTGGACCTATCCGGCCGCATATGCGTCGCATCGTAGCTGCATCCCGCATTGCACCGCATCCCACCGCATCCCACCGCATCCCCTTCCGTCAAATTTGTTTTTGATTTTGCCCCTCGGGGAGGGGCAAAATGGTCTTTTTGACTATCCAAAAATGGGGGAAACTGTTTGGGGTTATTAACCCCCCCAAACGATGATTTCCAATCACTTCTGTGGCTTTTTTTGCACCAAATCGAGGGAAGAAAAAATTTGGCGGAAATTTATTTTTCATTCAAATGTTTGATTTAGCGGTTGTTTCATACTTGGATGTTGATTTGATGCTTTTGATTGTTAATTTGGGGATGTTAGGGTGAATTTGTGATAAGAAATCGGGGGCAAAATTTGACTTCAAATTTCAAAATTGGCTCTCAAAATGGATGATTGTATTAAGTTATTAACTGTTAACTCTTCTTGAGCTTGACTTTTGGGTTGTAATATCACTATTTTGTGCTTATGGTTGTTTATGGTTGTGCTTATGGTTGTTGATGATTGTGCTTTTGCGCTTATGGTGCAAATTTGTGCTTATGGTTGTTGATTGTTATGAGGCTAGTTTCAAGTTGTTAGTTTTTAGTTTCTATCAGGGACAGTGGATAACTGGATACAAAATATCCGATAGCTAATAATTTTGAAGTTAATCATTAAACTAAAATTCCTACTATCACATATATCATCTCCATTTTTTTTTTCTATGCATTAACCTATTTTTTTAGATTTTTTTACATTTATTGACTGCATCATCGCGATGCACCTGCATCTGGGGCACATCCCCGCATCGGCCCCCCCACCTCTTTTGGCCGCATCCCGCATTTTAAAACACTAATTCAAACAACATATACCCTTTAACAACATGTAGGATTATTTCTAGAACTTGATCTTCTTCTTGAGCTTCATCATGTTTCTTAGCCAAGTGTACCTCCGCCTTCTGTTTTGGGCATTCATTTGCACATTGTCTTCTATCATTGCATCGGTAACAAGTAATTTTTGAAGTATCCCTATTTTTTTCACTAAATTTTGGTTAATGCCAACTTGATCTTCTTCTTGAACTTCATCATCTTTCTTAGCCAAGTGTACCTCCACCTTCTGTTTTGGGCATTCATATGCACAATGTCTTCTATCATTGCATCGGTAACAAGTAATTCTTGAATTATCCCTATTTTCTTCATTAAATTTTGGTTGACTCAAAACCTCCTTTTGAGTGTAAAATCGCTTATCGGTGCTCCATTGATATTTAGCCTCTACTCATAAAGCAATTTGAAAAGCTTCACTTAAAAGTCCATGGCTGATGTACAGAAACTTCGTCTGTAATCATTTGTTGAAGCCCGTTTACATATCGAGCAACTTTTTGTCATTCTGTCTCTTGAAAGTTGTTTCGACCTACTAATCGATAAAACTCCCCAGTATAATTCTCCACTTTCTTTTCATTCTATTGAAGATTTTGGAGTTCTTGAAAGAAAATTTGCTCATGATCGACCAGAAGAAAAATTTCTTTTTCATCTTTTGCTAGTCAGTAATTTTCTTTCAATTTCTTCAAGTCAAGCCTAAATTTCTCTCTCTCTCACACACACGCACTCACTCACGCACACATGCACACACACATATTAGAAGCTCAAAGATGGTGATAGGATATGTCAAACTTGTGAATTACAACTCATTAGTCAACAATTGTGCAAGCACACACACAGAGCACACTCATGCACAAAATCTACTATTATGGTAAGAATACTGTAGGTATGATCTTTTCTGACAAGACCAACATCATAGAATTGTTGTTTCAATTCTATACCCAGATCATACATGTAGTGTGTACATTTTATCAGTTTTGCACCCCACATCATACTGAAGCTGTACCGGAATATCTATTAATTAAGATGTACCTGAAACCTGTTTTTTCCCTAGCATTTCAGTACCAGTTACACTGGGTCCCCATGCTAATACCTTACCAACCCCTGGCAACTGTGACCATGTAGTTTCTTGTTGTTAGAAAATACTCATAGGGGTTATTTTGTCACAGATGCTTGAAGTTCTGAATTTACTAAATGTGCTTCTCCCCCCTCCATCTCCTGGAGATGAAAAGCTTCAGTCTTGGTTTGAGAAAGAAAAACATTTTAAGGATCAACCTGAATTTCTGCGTCAGTTTGGGCTAGACATTCTTCCTATCTTGATCCAGGTTGGTTTGCCAATTTGAAGTTTCTATTTTTCTTTATCTTTTGTATTCTTTTCTCTTTTTCATGGTTTAACCATTTCTACCCCTGATGCAGGTGGTTGGATCTGGGGCAACTGTGGCTATTTGTTACAGTAGCCTTTCTGTTATGAACAAATTGATTTATTTCAGCCCATCTGATATGCTACTTAATATGCTTGAAGGCACAAATATATCAAGGCAAAGGCTATTACCTTTCTTTATTTATCTATTTTCTGTAAAATGATAGTTAGAACTGTGGAAATTCTAAACATTTGGTGACATGATTCGCTTTTATTGTTTTAACAGCTTTCTGGGTAGTGTGCTTCGCTCGAAGGATCTCCACGTACTGATTGCTGCTCTTCATATAGTTGAGCTAGCCATGCAGAAATGCCATGACACTTTTCAGAAGTTATTTGTAAAAGAGGGTGTTCTATATGCAGTTGATGCACTTCTCTTACCAGAGAAGTTACCTGATTCTCACGCCTTGCTTCAGCAGCCAACCAGCTCAAGCGTGAAGCCTACAAGATGTCTTTGTTTTAGTTCCAGTGTCACTAGGTCTCCATCATCTGAAGTACGAACCTGCCACGTGAATAAGGAGATGGTTTGCTCTATAGCCAAGCGTATAAAAGACACCTACTTTCATTCAGTATCAAAAGACGCAAACGTGGCATTCACAGAGATGGTTCAGAAAATGAAAGATTTGTGCTCAGAGTTGAGAGATAATGCAGATATTTCCATAACTAAGGGCACTAGTGCTCGACATGAAAGATACTTGTCTAATATTTTGGAGAGTATGGTATCCGAGCTCATTGGAGAGGATCAACTGTCTACTTTTGAATTCATTGAAAGTGGGATAGTGAACTCATTCATAGATTATCTATATGGGGGGAGAAAAGTGGATGTTGCTGGGTTATCAGGTCATATTGAAGTGTTTCTGAAGAGATTCCAGAAGTTTGCTGCACTTACTTTGTCGTCACCTAGTCCCCACTGTGAGGTCATTCCTCTCACAGCCATGGTTCGGAACCTGCAGTCTGTGTTAACTTCTTTGGAGCATTTTCCTGTTGTCTCTAGTCATGTTCCTAAGCCTAGAAGTTCTTATTCTACCATTCCAGGTGCGCGGAGCCTAATCTGCCCGTGTTTCAGGGTTCACTTTGTGAGGGCAGAAGGGGATGCAACTCTCTCTGATTTCTCATCTGATGTTTTAGCAGTTGATCCTCTTTCTAGTATGGAGTCTATCGAAGAATATTTGTGGCCTCGAGTCTGCAAAAGTGGAGAACGAAAATCTGTGGGTGGTTGTGTGGGCTCATCCGAGGGTTCCTCATCTCTGACTTCACCTTCTATTGCTACGCATGGAACTGGGCATCGAAATACATCAGGAAACAACTTATCTGCAAGTTCGTCAAAAACTACTGAGAAGGTTGACTTAGACACTAATATCACTGGAGCATCAATTAATCATGAAGGAAGTGCTGGAGTCATTGAAGGATCATCACAGACGTTTATGGAGATTCAGGTTAGTATTGCTCCATGCACTAGGTCTCCTTTTGATGCAGTTAGTGTTTGCCTTTTATTCAAAAGATGGTTCGTTTGTTCTTTAGTTAGCATGTGTGCGTGTACTCAGTTCCTTATTCTGATTTTAAAATTCTGCAGGGAAATAAGTCTGAAATTTCTGCTGCTGAAATTAAAACAACCGTCGAAAGGGTACCTGCGGTTTCAGGTGGTGGAGTTGCATCCTTTGTACGACGATCTCTAGTGAGTACTTCCTCCTGGTATTGTATCTTTGTCGGCTATGTTAATGTTTAAGTTCTACCAATTTCCTTGTTTTAACAATCATGGAGGCGTGCTTGACAGTTTGTACAACTATAGATAGGGAAACATACCAGTTAGGCATTTTTCTTGAGCTGGAAACATGTTTTTCTTTCTTTTCATTTTGGTTTTGCTTTTGTGTGTCCAGATTTCTCTAATGCGAGCACTGCCATTTGTGGCACAGGCAAACAATACCAATAGAAGAAAGAAATCAGTTGCTGTAACTGATGTTTCTGCAACTGCACAAACTGTCGCAAATAAGGACTTGCCATCCAAAGAGGGCAAATCTGGAGAAACTCCTTCATCATCTGACAAAAAGAAATTACGAGGAACCCCAAAAACTGAACATTCCATCCCTAAGCTGAACTTCTGCTTACATGGGAAAGTGATGAATCGGTCACTTAGTCTTTATCAAGCAATTATTCAACAAGAAAATGTGGGGATTTGCGACATAAATGTGGGTCCTAAAATTTGGAGTGATGTATATCAAATCACATATGGAAGGGCTACAAAACCATGCATTGTTGATCATGAAGGGGAATTCCAAATTCCATTTAGTTGTAACAATGGGATGTTTTTGGGACATCTTCAATATTTCCGAAGCATCTTAAGTGAGGGGCTTTCTTGTGAACTGGATAAGTCAGATCCCATTTATAATGTGTTGTTATTGCTAAAAGTTCTGGAAGGGTTGAATAGGTTCTCATTTCACATAAAGGCTCACAACAACAGTAGTACTTTTGCGGAAGGGAGAGTAGACAAATTTGATGCCTTGAAGGCCACTCTCCCTTCAATTCCACAAAAGGAATTTGTGAGCAGCAAGTTAACTGAGAAACTAGAACAGCAGATGCAGGATCCACTAGCAATTACTGATCATGGCTTGCCTTCCTGGTGTAGACAGTTAATCACTTCATGCCCATTCTTATTTTCCTTCGAGTCAAAGAGTAAATACTTCCAGTTGGCTGCATCTGGCACTTCACGAGTGCCACAGTTGCCTTCCACTATGAACTCGGGTCGTTGGAGCATACTTCCACATGACATTGAGAGATTGCGTTCTAGTCATTTGACGCGAAGAAAGTTTTCCATTAGCCGAAGGCACATACTGGATTCGGCTTCAAAAATTATGAGCTCATGTTCCAGTGGTAAGATTATTGTTGAGGTTGAGTATGAGGGTGAAGTGGGTACCGGTCTTGGTCCAACATTGGAGTTCTATACTTTAGTTAGTCGTGAATTTCAGAAGGTTGGACTTGGCATGTGGAGAGACACCACAATGCAATTCCATGCTGAAGGATCATCCCAAGTTCAGGATTCGGGCTTTGTGGTTGCCCTTATGGGGTTATTCCCATGCCCATGGTCAAGTTCATCAAACTCCTCAAATGGGATACAGTTCTCTGAAGTGATTAAAAAATTCACTCTATTGGGGCAGATTGTTGCAAAAGCACTTGAAGATGGAAGGCTTCTGGACCTTCCCTTCTCAAGAGCATTCTATAAGCTCATTCTTGGGGAGGTTATTTTCTAACTTTTATGGATATGCTGATGCTTTATTGGGAAATGCATCACTTTTGTAATTAATCTAAATGTTAAAATTTTCTGTTGTTTCTTTCAGGATCTTGATTTATATGATATCCAGTTGTTTGATGCTGAATTTGGAAAAACCTTGCAAGAGATGAAGGCTATTGTTGATCGTAAAAGATACTTGGAGTCTGTACCATGCAGGAATAAAAGATTAATTTCTAGTCTGAGTTTTCGGGACACTAAGATTGAGGACCTCTGTCTTGATTTTACTGTTCCTGGTTATTCTGATTATATTCTTAAAATCGGACCTCAATATAAACAGGTAATGTTTGTTTCTCTTTATGGTATTTGTTTGATGCTCATTTAATAGTCAGCTATCATAGCAACAACAAAGAAAAAAAGCTGACATAGCATGTATTTGTTTTACTCAGGTAAATATTTACAATTTGGATGAGTATGTGTCATCAATGGTGGATGCAACTGTGGGAAGTGGGATTTCAAGGCAAGTGGAAGCTTTTAAATCAGGATTTAACCAGGTTAGTGTGGAGGTAGAACTGTGCTAGCATTACTGAATTGGTGACATGCTATTGAACTTGCAAGAGGTTGTATTTATTCAAAATGTTTTCTCAAATGCGGTTATACAAATAGTTTTTCTGCAATTTACTTTCTAAGAAACTTGCTGAATACATCACTATTAAAACTCTAATATATAAAATTGTTTATTATCATCATCATCATCATTAATATTATTATTGGTTATTTTTTTATTTTGTGAGGTAAATACTAGAGTCTTTGCGTTGACTGCTGAAAATATTCTGCAGTGGCTGGTAAGATTTGTGGTATCCCTTGTATCTGGTGCCTGACAATGTAGAAGTATTTAAAACTAAGCTTGAAGAAAGACATACTTGGATTGTGTTATATAAATAACCATCTTGTAGATTAAAAAGTCATTCAAAGTTCCAAACCTTGTGATTTATTCATGTAACAGTAGTACTCTCCCTCTCCCTCTCCCTCTTACAATACCAGAATACCTAAACCACGCTCATATTGGGGATCATTGATTGATGGACAAAATCAATGTGACATGAGGCATCAGCATAAAAACGAATGTAATAATCGACATTAATGTAACATGGGACATGTGAAGTCTTATGATTGTACTCCTCACTGTTCTAGATGCCACATAAACATGACCCTGTAGCATTGTTAATTTGTTAGGGGAGCTTGTAGACAAACTTAAAGTCTTTAAGCAGCCTGGCCTTTCTAATCTCATTTTGAGAGCAGTTTCAAGCTTGTGGTTGAAAGTTGAAATGATCTCCTTGACTGGTTTGTCGTGATGGAACTTGGTCCATTAAGAGGTTGAAGGAATACATTGGTTCATTTGGTCGATCGACGTGAAAGTAATGCTAAGGCGAATCTTCTAGAAGATCCAGATATTCTTCTGTTAGTTGCATGTGCTATGTACCTGACAACAATGTTGCTCCTCCATCTTGACTCACCTGGTTTAGCTCTGCTGACTTATGAAAATGAACTCCCATTGGTAGGTTTCTCACCATATATAAGTTGATTTTCCATTGGTAGGCTCATCTTTCCATGATATGGGAGCAGGAATAGATTGTATTGAAATGCAAATATTTTAATTGATGGAGAAGTATCGTATGAGCATTCAAGTTTCCCAGAATTATCTGATATCTCCCAGCCATCAAATGTCAACAATGGACAGTTGGATTGTAACGTTCATGTGCTCAAAGTCATGAAGATGTTATGGCTGGATTACATTGCTCCTCTCCATGTGTCCATCAAATCATTTGATGGACTTCGAGCGCAGGAACTACACCTGCTGTCCGCTGTTCAAATCTGATGAATGAACTAATAATGTTCTCATGTAACAAAAGCAAAAATGATGGGACTGTTGACTTCAATGGTGATCCTGAGAGATTTTCTCTTATCAGATAGAGGTTTCAGAAACCTTGTTTTCTCCTGGGGATAAATGGGTTTCTGTAAACAATCAAATTCCTTACATTGATTGCTGATCAAAATCACTGGAAGATATATGGTCAGTGGGGCTCTATTCTATTAGGAAGCCACAATAAATATAGAAAGCAAGCAGTACTGTGCTAGGATGGATCTCACCAACAAGTTCTGGCTCTCAAAGTTCGTACAACATCATGTTGGTAGCTAGTTTGCATGCAGGCTGTGTGAAATGAAACTGTCAAAGGTGAATGTACGTGAAATTTTATGGTTAGCTCCTCAAGGCCTTTTTTAGGGGTGTAAATAGTAGGAGTATTTTATCCATTCATGTGAACTCTAGAGTTATTTTGTGATAATGCATGTGACATGTATCTTATATAAGAAAAGTTTGTGTTGACTCTTCTATAGTCTTACGTGAGTTATGTTAAAGCCTCTTTACTTGGTACATGGGCTGGCCCTTTCTTTCATTATCTTTTGATATTTATTATATTAGAGCAAGTATTCTCTGATCCTTAAGTTTCACGGGGTTTCCTAAATGATAAAAATTCTCATTGGAAGAACTTAAGATTAGACCCACCAGACAAGAAAGATGATCGGCAGCACCTACTGCTGGCTACATCTTGAATCTCTTTACTCCAGAATATAGGCCATAAACTCCGTCTCATGAATGCGGAATCATATCCCCTGATTGCAAGTTGTTGCCTGGTGGTGACCATGACTAACAGCAAGGAATCTACCATGTTCCTGATTTTATAAAAAATAATTAGAAACCCCTCGATCACTATTAATTCAAAGGAGATGTCACAAATCTAACTGAACTCTAGAAGTAAGGCCTTTGCTTCAACCATGGTCAAGTCCAATTTAATGTAGAAGTGGTAGCAGGAGAACCATGGCCTTGAACTGGCCTTTGAAGGGGCCTGCAGCCTGAGGACTCATGAACTGGCCTTGGACTGCCTCTTCATCTCCGCATTTGATATAAATTATTGGGCATGCTGTTGATTCCAATAAAAGACTGAAGAATGAACTTCGTAACTTTCATCAAACCTTACCCACCTTGGCATTTCTTTCTTTCACGGTTGAGATAATGCTGAATGTGCAGAAATGTGTTTTCCTTGCAGATCCTCCCTTTGGAATATCTTAAAATATTTGCTGAAGATGAACTCGAACGATTGCTCTGTGGTGAAATCAACATTTGGCAGGTAGATCTCTTTAGTATTTATTTTGGCTGTTGCTCTTTGCTACTCTCATCGAATCATTTCGATAAAGAATGTGGAGAAAAAGATACCCTTCTTATGCAGTAAGGTTTACCTGATTGTAGTCTGACAATCTTTTGGATGAAATCAAGTTTGATCATGGCTACACAGCAAGCAGTCCACCTGTCATTAACGTAAGCACCAACGCTTTAGTGCTTCCTCTTTACTGCATGAAAGACATGTCCTGTTGTCAGTGAATTTATGTGCGTTGGTCATACTTTTCAACAAAATGAACGTATGTTCTCTAATCATGTCAGCTGCTGGAGATCATTCAAGAATTTGGAAGTGATCAGCGTCGAGCCTTTTTACAATTTGTGACTGGAGCGCCCCGCCTTCCACCAGGAGGCTTTGCAGCTCTGAACCCAAAATTGACAATCGTTCGCAAGGTTCCTCTCTCTCTCTCATGCACTCACGAGTATGCATGCATTTACAGGCTTACATGCTGTTCAATGTTCTCTATCTCACATCAACTTGTTTCACAGCATTTTGGTGACGGTACTGCTTGGGATTTGCCAAGTGTGATGACCTGTGCCAATTATTTGAAACTTCCTCCTTATTCATCCAAGGCAAGGCTTGCTCTCTTCTCTCTGCCTGCGTGTGTGCGGGCACACACGCGTGCCTATGCCTATGCTCATGCGTATATAATCAATATTTTTAAGAGTTGTAAATGGTTTTCCTCTGTGGCTTTGCAGGACCAAATGAGGGAGAGGCTGCTATATGCCATTACAGAAGGGCAGGGTTCGTTCCACCTCTCTTAGCCTTCCACCTGTTTGTTAATATCCACCTCTCTCTGAGGTGTCTGTCTGTTCCGGTAATTCATTTTGAAGGTGGTGTAGATAGTGATGCTGATTGTGGCAGACCATCTTCCATTTTCCATTGTACATTGGGATGAAGAAATCACGACGATGGTCATTGCCTTGTATATTGGGATGAAGAAATCACGTTGATGATCATTGCCTTGTACAGGTACAGTTTTTTGAAGCTCACGTGCCAAACAGTTCAGTGTACATAGGGAAATGAAGATACTGAGCTGTTGTTTATGCATATTCATTCATATACAGTGACAGGCGTTTTTCTTTAATTGGTCTCACCTTTGACATTGGTGATGCTCCATGGAGCACTGTACATGATGTGAATAACTCTGCTTTTGGTCTTTTGATATTGTTACACTTTTTACGGTTTTGATGTAGATTGTCATCCAAGAAACAAACAACACTTTTGAGAATTGAAATGTAAAGAGCTTGAATTTGCGTTATCAAAATCAAAATCTCGGGTCTTCAATTTGGTAATGCTCATCGAGGATCTCCCATATGCAGTCATTTCCATCTCATCGTGGATGCGATGCGACTTGAGTAGGGGGCTCCAACTCCCAGTTAACTATGATTTGAAGGGTGGGTGAAGTTTCCTCTCTTGGGAGGAAATTGCACACTTTTACTTTTTGTTACAATTTTTATTTGACGGTTGTCAGGTATATATAATCTCTTAAGATATAGATCATTTATATCCGAAAAAAGCTAAAAACTACAAATTAAAAATGATAATTTTTGAAGAGAAGTTTTAAAGACTAGTGGTTTTAATCTTTTTTAGTGGGAGCACCCCTTTACATCTATTTTTAATATAGATGTGTTATGCCTCAAGGGGATGCACAGGCAGTTGAAACACTCGTCTATTTTTACATGGATGAAGGAAGATTGTATGATGGAGAAGGGGCGAGCATTGGGAACGTGTGACAGATTGACATCTAGAGCAAATTAACATTAAAAAAATATGAAAATGGGCAAGTTAACATTAAAAAAGAAGAAAATGGTCGATAACATTTTTCAAGAGTGATGGAGAGGCAAATGCTCTCCTTCTGTAGCTTCCATAAAAATCTCTCTATCGCTTCTAAATATCTCTTATCTCAATCTCTCAATTTATTAAAGTTTTTAATCTCTCAATTTATTTAGTAAGTTTTTAATCATGCCTTAAATGATGACTTAAATGAGGGCGGAGGAGAGATTATTATTTCTGAAAAAGAAATTTGAGTTGACAACTATATAGTTTCATATCAGATAGAATTTCTAATCAAGAGATGTATGTAAAACAATTTATATTAATATTCTATGTAAAATAGAGAATTACCAAGACGGTCATATATTTAATATAATTTATTTACTTAACATATCTATAATAACGTGTATAATAAATTTTATCTTTTATATTTCTTGACATATTATACTCGTAACAAAGTATGTTGTTACAATATTAGATTTACCAATATTAACGTTTGCTTCTAAAACATGTAGTTGTTTCCATAATTTTCAAATAAAATATTGAGATTATTTTATTATTATAATAAAATATAATCTTAGCGTATGTGTGGAATATTAAAATAGCATAAATTTGGAAAAAGTTTATATAAGGTTGCAACCTTAAAATGTAGAAATAAAGATGCACCTAAAAAATCAATTGGAGAAGGTTATTTTAATGTTGAAAAGCCCTCTAATTGATCATCTCGACATCGAGATGTATGATTAAGAAAAAAAAAAAAGAGTTCTGAGTATTAGAAATAGTTTATCTTGCAACTGATCATCTCGACATTGAGATGTATGATTATAAAAAAAAGAAGAAGTTTTTGAGTATTAGAGTGTATCTTGCAACACATTATCTATATCGTCATTTTTCTAGATTTGTATATGTTTATAGATCTATTTGATTTTAACCATTTATGGAGTTTAAAATTTTGTAATTAGATTTGAAAATAGATTTTTAGATAATCCTAAGAATTTTTTATATCAAAGTTACATTTTATGATAAATATGGAGGTGTGCCTCAATTGGATTGTTTAAGGTTCCAGAAAGCATACCCTGGATTGTTTAAGCTTCCAACCTTATAGAAACCATACCCAATTTATTAGTATCTAGTGTTATTAGTATGTGACATTTTTATCCTAAAATGTAGATATCTACGGCTTCCTCTTCTCTCTATCCGTCAATATAAAACTAGAAGTTATTACTTTGTCTATACTATCCATATGGGAGTATACTATCCATTTGCTCCCTCATATAAGTGAAAGGTAATTTTAGGATTCAATATAATCTCGAAGCCAGTAACCAACTACCCAAAAAAAAAAAAATTCAAATATATGAAAAAAAAGAAGGGGAGGTGGGGGCCCTGCACAATTAATATAATCCCGAAGGACTTTTTTTATGACAATAATGATCCTGCGGGAGCATATTCGACGGGTCTATTTCGGCGGGAATAATCCTATACGCGAGCGCTATTTGAATTAAGTCGTCCGATTCAGATTGGACGGATGATAATAGTTAGACGGTACATTAGATCAAGGTTCATGAATTCGCAATGCCCATAAAGTCGTCCGATTGAGTCATTGAATTAAGTCGTCCGATTTAGATTGGACGGATGACAATGGTTACACGGTACATCGGATCAAGGTTCATGAAATCGCAATGCCCATAAACATCCGATGAGATCTAATTCAGTACGGCGCCTAGTGAAAGAGGTTAGGGAGCGAGCATATTCTTTGTTTTTTGGTGAATTAGTGGGTAGAGGGTCCTGCCCTTTTAGAAATTGAGCCTAGGACGTATTGTTACAAACCATCAAGCCCCAACCAATTAAGCCCCGGCTCTTCCTAACGGAGCGAGCATATTCATCAATAGCTATGCATCAAACATATGTGCCAACTAAAACCAGCTAAATTTCAGATTGTATGCTGGGACCTAAAATAAATTTCCCCAAGTTCTATGCCTCATAGATTTTTTTTTGCTTTGGAAATGAATGATAAAAAATACTTTCTGGGTTGTGTTTCAAAATTTTCTTTTTTGTGATTGATCATTACAATGAAAAGAGTGTATATTTCATGTATCAAACAAATGGCCATTAGATGGTTTTTTAAAGTTGTTGCATCATATTACTATACAACCGTTGCATGAAAATCATTGTCATATATATATATATATATATAGGGATAATCTAAAATTCACAAGCCTTCAACAAAGGTTAAAGATCGAAAAAGTTGTGAATGGTGGATTTACTAATTTTGTAGTCTATTTTTATAAAAAATTAATTTTTGTGATATCTTCATCATTAACTAAAGGTAATTTTGTAAATATTATTACATGACGAGGGGTACTTTTGTCATCTCCATACAGGGTAAAGTTGAAATTTTTACTAAAAGACAATGACACTCTGCAAATAAAATTTCAAGACATTAACTTCTAAAATGCCATTGTACTTTTGTAAAAACTTCAAATTTGCGTTTACTTAATAGTTAAGTTACCTTTTTTTTTGCTAAAAGTATGCAATTTTCATTAAAAAAATAAAATATAAAAGATACTTATAGTGGTTTACATTGCAATTGAGTAGTGGAAAACATAATTCCCGATATTATTGCGTACGGCATGGCCAGTAACGATGACGATTGAAGTCATGACAAAAATTCTGAACTCACTCCCATGAGCAATCTACAGGGTAAATTTATAGCCCTGATTCTTCATCACATAATCCATTACTTAAATCTGTATCTCGGTCTTCTAGCTGCAATCCATGAGAAATGATATCCAATAGAATTTGGGAATGTATCCAACTCCTGATATGAAATCATATGGCAACTAATGTTTGCCATTTTGTCTACTGCGGTGTTTGCTTCCCTATATACATGTGAGATTTTCCATGAGATTTTGTTTAGGTAAGCAATTACATTATTCCATCTAGTTTTAATACATCAAGGTACCAAACTGGATCTTATGGCTGAAGTAATACCAAAGAGTCACATTCAATCCAAACATTTGTGAAACATTTTTAATGACATATTCAACACCACAAATAAATGCAGTAAGCTCTACGAGATAATTTGTTCCCATAAGTATAGGTCCTAAAAAAGAACCAAGCATCACTCCAGAAGAATCTCTTAATATACCTCCAAAGCCCGACCTTCCTGGATTCCTCTTAGAGCATCCATCTATATTGAGTTTGACGCATCCAGACATAGGCGGAAGCCATATTACCTCCAGGATGAACGGATCATTCCCTGGAGGCCTTCTTATGAGTAATAAATCACTCACAAACTTTGCTTTGAAGTCTCTCCAATTAGAAGCTATTGAAGAGATGTGTTTCATAATCCATTTCTTTGACCATTGAATTTGAGACATTGGCCGACCTTTATCAAATCGACATTTGTTTCTGGACATCCATATTGCAGTGATGATATGAGACCATCCAATAATCCATAGATCTTTTGTTTTGCCATGGCATCCCGGTCCTTTCCATTTCTTGCTAAAAGCTTCAAAAGACATGTCGCATGGAAGAGGTAATCCAAACAAATTGGGAAACCAGCTCCACATGCTATTAGCAAAAAAGCAAGTAACAAATAAATGGTCCCTAGTTTCCATGCTATTTCCACATAGTGAGTAACATAAAACTAAAAGGATGCCAATAGACCTGATTTTCTCATCAATAACAATGGAATTGTTTGCAACTTTCCAACTCATCAAGGAAACTCTGGGATGGATGCCTTCATACTAGACCAAAGTGTTCCAATATGAATTACATCATTTTTCCTTAATGAATTCCCAAGCAGAAATGGTTGAGAATTCACCAGAGATAGTATGTTTCTAAATTCTTTGATCCGCTATAGGGGCATGGAGTAAATTAATTCCAAATACAGCTCTTAAGAATTAATTTAAAAGTGTAGAATTAACCATAGGAAAACACCATGTTTGAGGGTTACCTGAAATGAAGTGTGAAACCCTTGCTTTTGAGTGCTTGAATGCTGACAATGGAAGACTTGATTGAGATGCAAGTGATGTATTTTCGACCCATACATCATTCCAAAAATCAATAGATGAGTCATTTCTGATCATCCATCCACTCCTTGAACTTAATTTCGGCCATACTTTTAATAAACCAAGCCTCACCGAAGTATCCTCCTTGAAATACTTGACAAAAATGAACTTTGACTAAGTTGCTTTCTTGTTTAAAAAATTTCAGGCCAACTTTATCAAAACAGAGAAATTAACAGCTCGTAGCCTTCTTAATCCCAAGCCGCCTTCATTGATAGGTTTACAGACTTTGTCCCAATAGATTGTTATTCTTTTGATAACTCGTGATTCCCAGTCTAAATAAAGTTCCTTATATGTGTTTCCATTTCTTTCATCATATTTGCCTGCCATTGATAGATTGCAAAAGAATGGATAGGCATACTCGCAATAACAGAGCGCTTCAGTTGAATCCTTCCAACGAAACTTAAAATCTTGCCTTTCCAACCCA